TGTTGCATTGTCTACCAACGATGGGAAGGTGGTGATTGATTTTCTAAAGTAAAATATTTTCACCCGCTTTGGCACACCGAGAGCTATAATCAGTGACGGGGGCCAACATTTCTGCAATCGCCAATTTGAACAGTTGTTGACTAAATATGGCGTTAAACATCGTGTAGCCATTGCATATCATCCTCAAATCGACGGACATGTTGAAGTGTTCGATAGGCAATTAAAGTGAATACTTGAAGTCACAGTAAGCTCTTCACGAAAAGATTGGTCTAAGAAGATGGACGACACCTTGTGGGCCTAAATGACTGCATTTAAGACTCCTATAGGGATGTCACCATATCGATTGGTTTTCGAGAAGGCATGCCACTTACCTCTTGAGATAGAACACCATGCTTATTGGGCAATGAAGAAATTGAATTTGGACTTGAAGGTTGCGGGTGAAAAATGTTTATCACAACTTAATGAGCTGGATGAGCTCAGAATGGAGGCCTATGAAAATTCAAGACTCTATAAAGAATGTACCAAGAAGTGACATGATATGTATATTCAAAGGTGTGAATTTATAGTGGGGCAAAAAGTGTTACTGTACAACTCTAGGCTTAAGCTATTTTCAGGAAAGCTACGATCGAGATGGTCTGGTCCCTACTATTACACAGGTATTTTCACATGGAGTAGTTGAGATCACTCATGACAGTAAGAGGACATTTAAAGTCAATGGACAGCATTTGAAGCACTATTGGAACAACGATTTCTCAAAGAAAAAGTCTATCGTTCATCTTAGACCACCAGAATGACACAATACGGTAAAATCGAGCTATCGACTATAACCTATCGCTGGGTGGGAGGCAACCCACTGTATCCTTTTAAATTTAATTTATTTTGCTTTTTTGCATCAGATTAGGAATTGTTCAATTTTATTTTTCAATTTTTTTTAAATTAGGTCATTGATCATCCATACATGTTAAAAGAGTCCAAGCACTGTCCACACGAGTCCCTACACATCACACATGAGTTCGGGTTGATTGGAGCTATTTTTAGTATTTGGGGGTGTAATTCACGCATTTCAAGGCAAAAGTTTATTTTCAAAATTTCAAATGTCAATGCATGATTGTGAATTTAAAAAGATTTTGGTTTCGAACACTAAATTTATGCTCTATGTATACCCCCAAAATGTTTAAAAATGTATCTTTGAAAAATTGGGGTCATTGAGAAGTCAGACCGACCACTAAATTGAAAACCAAATTTTGGGATAAAATTTAATCAAACTAGTGATTTTGGGAGAATTGAATATATTTTTTTTCAAAGTTGTTTTTTTATTATTTTTAAATACATTTTCCTTTTTTTAGCATGTTAAAAAAAAA